ATCATTTGCGGTCCTGGGATCATTTGCGGACCCGTACAGAACTTGTTGTCACACTACAGGTTGATGTTGCGTGGAACTTACCCGCACCATCGTTACAAAACGGACAACTTGTACGATTCATCCCGGAGGGGGGGAACTCCCACATGAAAAGGTAGAGGATGCTTTTCCTCTACTTTGGGAGTGTAAATGAAGGATTTTCGTCTCACTTGGGGTGTTCAGGACGACATGCCAGCATTTTTAGCCATAAAAGTGTCTTTTGGGGTGTACTGGAAGGAATATAATATTAAAAATCTGCTCTTATTTCCGTTTTTAATCTGGATTTCCGACTGTCTCTCAAGTCCGGTCTACTATCGCGGGCTCCTTTCCTGAACAGCAGCTGTTAATCGATGCTAATCCGTTTTAAGTGGTATCTTTTAGTAGGGTCTGGATGGGGTAAACTGACAACTGACTAATGGCGAAAAAAATAACTGACACCTGGCAAATACCCGAAAATTTAACTGACAACTGACGAAAGGTTTTAGCCATTGTTATTCGTTTGAAAGTCACTGAAAATAACTTTTTTTGGGAGGAAATATTATTACTTTAACCTTGGTAGTTTAAAACTATAACCTCTTAATAATTAGCATGGTCCGTGTGTTGACTGACCACAGCAAATTAGCAAACCCTTTACTTCTTGGTGTTGTGGAAACTATTATTACTTAGTTATTGTGTTTTGCTTTTGGGTATTGTTTGTCGTCTTTTGAATCTTTATTTGTTTCACAACATTTGGTGATCACACGCAGCACCAAGTCACTACATTTGCTACCGTTACTTCTGAAAATGTATGTTGACTAGCATACGAAACGTCAAGCTCAGTGTTATAACTGATGCGTTGGAATACAATGTTTATCACCGCTGTTTGTGTTAAATCTTAATCATTTTGTCTAGTTGTGTTGTGACGGTTCTTGGGCGAGTAACAGACGTAATACCATTTAGCTGTTTCTGTTACAGAAACCAAAGTTTAAGAGCTTCGGGCTTATTCCATCAAAGGGCCACTTTTTAGTTTCCCCAATGTTGTGTATAAATACATTACAATTCAGTGCATAGCACATGAAGTACATCGTCCAGACCATCGTACGTCCAGGACATGTCCAGGTGGATCGCCGCTGACCAGTAACTCGAACCCTCGGACAACGGATTCTCCAATGATTACCGAAGTTTATGTCAGAACCCGCTTTTTCCGAAAAGGTTTTTCAGTCTCATCATGGCTTATGTCGCAAGAACAGGAACGAAAATATCTCATTCTCTCCTTCATGGTTCCGCTGGTCGTAGTGTTCCGTTGAAGAAAGGACAAGAGCTAAGAACTCTTCCATCATTAAGCACTTTGTCGTTCAGTGTCAACAGTCACGCTGCAAAAGAGCCTATCAAGACAATATCAGATATGCCAGGACCTATCAGCCTTCCGATCATAGGGACAGCTTGGAAATTCTTCGCTAGCGCGAAAGGCGAATCCCTTGGAAAGCGAGTTCTGAAAGTACAAGAAGAAAATGCGAACAAATATGGTAGAATATTCCGATCGCAATTACCCGGGGTTACGATTATTTCTCTCTCAGACCCCGCAGATGTAGCGAAAGTTTTGCGATCCGAGCCAAAGTACCCTCAACGACGTCAGTTCCCCGTTCTCGACTACTACCGCGAAAAACGACAAAAGGTTCCTGGCGTTTTCTTCTTGGATGGTCCTGAGTGGTACAAGCATCGAAGTGTGCTAAGTAAGCGAATGCTTCGACCCAAACAAGTAACTGACTACGCTTCGGCCTTCAACGAAATCGTAACAGATTTTATTCACAGACTGCGAACTGTTCGAGAACCTAGTGGCTCAGAGAAAGAAAACGAAGTCTGTGCTCTCGACAAGGAGCTCTTCAAATGGTCATTTGAGTCTGTCGCAGTCATGTTGTTCGACAAAAGGTTTGGTTGTCTTGAGCCCGAAGTAAACAAAGAAGCACAGACCTTTATAACAGCTGTGGGAAATATTCTGCACAATGTAATGGCGATAGGTTTTCTGCCGACCTGGTTCTACAAGATTTACGAAACCCAGCAGTTTAAAACATTTTTTTCAAGTTTTGACACGATGTACGAATACGCTGAATTGTTTATCCAGACAAGGATTAACGAGCTTGAAGAACAACAAAGGAACCAGTCAAGCGATCCATCAGAACCTTCTGAGAGAGACAAAGCGGGTTTCTTTGAGTTTCTCCTGTCAAGTGGAAAGCTGACTAAAGATGATTTACTTGCAAGCGTGATTGATGTTCTGTTTGCTGGGGTTGACACAACTTCCAACACGATGCAGTGGGTGTTGTACATGATGGCGAAAAATCCTGACAAGCAAGACATCCTGCGACAAGAAGTATTATCAGTGCTTGGGGATACAACATTGGCGACACCGACGACTCTGGCGCAAATGCCTTACCTGAAAGCCTGGGTACGGGAAACGCTGCGGCTCTATCCAGTCCTTTGTGCTATTCCTCGAAGGCCGCCTAAGGATATCATTTTAAGTGGATACCTCATTCCTGGGGGTGTGGCCCAAGTCGAGTTTCTTACTCATGTCATGGGCCGAAATGAGAAACTTTTCGAAGATGCCGAAGCGTTTAGACCCGAAAGATGGCTGCGCAAGAGAGACGGCGTTCCAACCGACACCGCCAAAGCTTTCTCTTCTATTCCGTTTGGATTTGGAACCCGAATGTGTATTGGCCGTCGTATCGCTGAGTTGGAGCTTCATCTTTTATTGGCCAGAATCGTGCAACAATTTGAGATTTCTTATCCTTCTGATGCGGAGAATGTTGAGCCATTTGTTCGAGGGGTTACGATTCCTGACAGAGCTGTGAGAGCGAAGTTTGTAGACAGACAATAAAGAACTGAACAGAATTGAAGTAGAAGGCATTTAAAAAGTGGAACTAGTAACATGTTCGTCTCATTTCGGACAAGTAAACCTTAAAATATCAAATTAGTAAATATAGTAAAACACTAAAAAAGGTGACTCCAAAGTAAGAGAATTCAAAGATATTTAGAATGGAATATAATGTATCGAATTCCGAAATATAGGAACATGCATGTACCAAATCAGGGCCGTGCATATCAGGGGGACAGGGGAGGCAGTTGCCACCGCCAGGAAAACTTAATGTTTTTTATTCTTTTTTCTAACATAGTGTTTGATTTTGCTGGGCTATTTCTTGTAGCTATATTGGTCCGAAATCTCAAGAAAACCGACTAATTCACTAAAAAATCCTCCTTCAATGTAAATTCCAAATAATTATTTTGGAAAATCTTTTGAGGCAAAAGCCAGCTCTCAATTTACCCTCGTACCCAGCGTCTTTGTTCCCTTAGACCAGTGGTCAGAAACAATCATTTTGTCAAGCCAGCATGCACAGTAAGGAATGAAGACTCGAGGTACAAGACGTTCTCGTCCCCAGAGGCCGCGCTCCTTTTGGTCAGCACCAGGAATCGCGACCTCTGGCCTTACCCTCTGGCCGGGTCCAACACCGGAAGTCCGCGATTCACGGACTTCCCATCACTCTACTCATGCTCAGAGTCAC